AGGGCTGAGAAGACTGGTGGTCGGAGCGTGCTAATGAGATGGAAGCAGCAGCTGCATCTGGTAATTGCTGGAAGCTCTTCCAACTCACCCGAGCCACTGACAACAAGAAGTCTGGTGTGAGTGAAACAATCTACGAGGATGGCGGGATGACAATCACTAACATCTCTCGACGTCTTGGATGATGGGCGGAATTCTTTGAACGGCAGTTCAACAGGCCTGCTGCTCCAGCAACATCGACCATATTGTCCTGCTCTCTATGCCCGGTGAAGACCCGAGAACGATTGAATCGCGAAGAGCAGGCTGGTTTTCGTTCTTGTCGAGGATGCATTGATCACATCTTCACCCTCCGCCAAATGTTAGAACACCGTCATACTTATCACAGGCCAACAATCGTAGTGTTTTTGATTTCAGGGATGACTTCGATTTGTTGGACAGGACTGTTCTCTGGGATTGTCTATTGAAGAAGGGTGTGCCTGAGAAGTTTATTAACATCTCAAAGGCCCTGTACACATACACTGCAGGCACTGCAGAACATACAACCACCTTTCTCCCTTGTTCCATTCGAGCAGTGGGGTAAAACAGAGTTTCTTAATCTCACCATTCCTCTTCAACTCTGCCATCGATAACATCCTGGAAACAGCTCTGATGGATGTAAGTAATGGCGGTGTGGATCTGTTGCCTGGAAAACGACTTCTCGACCTTGAGTATGCGGATGATATTGTCTTACAGTGTGATAATGCCCATGTCATGCAATCCCTGTCTAACCAGTTGGCAATCAGTGTCCGCAGGTACGGCATGTGCTTTGCACCCTCCAAGTGCAAAGTACTCCTACAAGACTGGCAGGATTCGAATTCTGTACTAAACCTAGATGGTGAGCAGATTGAATTAGTTGAGAAGTTCGTATATCTAGGTAGCTGCACACGTGCTGGTGGTGGCGTGAGTGATGAGATCGATGCACGTATAAAGAAAGCCATATCGTCTTATGCCAATCTGGGCCATCTTTGGCGCCTTCGTGATGTTAGTTTGGCTGTAAAAGGTCGGATCTACAACGCGTCGGTGAGAGCAGTTTTGCTCTATGCTTGTGAAGCCTAGCCTCTATGAATTGAGGATATTAGACGACTCTCTGTGTTCGATCATCGTTGTCTCCGAAGGATTTCTGACATCCAGTGGCAACACCATGTTAGTAATGCAGAGGTTCGGCATCGTGTGTTCGGGCGCAGAGACGATAATCCAATTAGTGTCACTATCATGAAATATCGACTTCGGTGGCTTGGGCATGTTCTACGAATGTCGTCCCAGAGAATTTCACGTCGTGCATTATTTGCCGACTCTGGGACTGGCTGGAAAAAGCGGAGAGGAGGTCAGTGTATGGTGTCATGGTACGAAAGAAAGCTGCGAAGGGCTGGCTTCTGTTCGTCCACCACAACTCGTGGCTGGGGTACAAGAGATGGTGCAACACATTGGCTAGAGACGTTATCAGATATGGTTCAGAATAGAAGTCAGTGGCGATCCTGCTGTAACTTTTTCTACTTTCTTCATGAAGAGTGGTCATAACTTCCGTAGCTAAAAGAATTCGTCTGGTTGTACATTTCAGTTTCACCATCATTACTCTTATTTTTTTTATAAATATGTGTATCCTCCACTTTTCTCTTCTCTTTCTCATTGTTTTGTGTGGCGCATATATATCTGGTGCCCCCTTGTACCAATATTTATGTGTTTAAATAAATAAATAAATTAATTATCAGTATCTCGTTACTAAAGGAATCCGGTCAATGGATACTGAGTATCTTGCGTAGGCGACTGTCCATAGTATGAGCTTCGCATGATGTTGACGATCTTTTCAGGTATGCCATAGTGTGGAAAAAGTTACATGAGGTCCTTTAATCCATACCGTCAAAAGCTTTCTTTTAGTCACGGAACTTGATGTATAGTAACGAATTCCATTCAACTGGTTGCTCAACAGTGATCGATAGTGACTCAATTTGTTATGCGCACGAGTAATCCTTATGGAATACAGTCTGTGGATCTGGAATTAGGGCATCTAATGAATTTTTCATCCGGTTTACTAGCATTCTGTGGATCGATCATACACAGACGGTTTGAAAGATAATATTCAATTTTGTTACTGATATGTTCGAGGGATTGAGATATCACATAGGATTGGCGAACGGAACGAAAGTCATCAACACAACAACAGGGTCAGCTAATCCTTTCAACTGTTCTTCAGTCCTGTTAACTAGGGGTCAAAGACTAGATTTAGAAGTGAATTATATATTCCAAAGGCAGCATAGGAAAACGAACAGGCAAGAACACAACAAATGCTCATATATACAACACAAAATGCCCTTGATAAACGTGATGAAATAGCGTATCAAAATAGAAAACGAACCGATGAGATGTAAGATCCTTCTAGTTGGGAAATACAAACTGAGGGTAAAAGTGAACACTTTTGGAGCGGAAATGAAAAATTTAAATTCCATAGTAAAATTGCGAAAATGAGAAGTTTACTAAGTGATTTCTAGAGATCTAGCATACCCAAAAGTTATGAGTGAAAGCCTACATTTTTGGAGGAGTGCTTCAATTCACAGTCATAAATTCACATTCCCAGTTGGTCGAAACAACGTAATAAAAAAGAGGAACGAAGTAATATGGCTGCCGCTATAAGTAAATAATAACTGAAAGCGCATGGAAATTTCGTGAACACTTAGGGAAAACAAAAGTTACGATAAAATACAAAATGTACTATCTCAAATGGAGTGAAAAGATCGACGAAATATACATCTGAAGGGATTGGGGAGAAAAGTTCACAACAGGTTGTACGTTGCAAAATTTTCGCACACAAAACTCCAGAAAGGGGCTTACACCGATGTCTCTAGTTCTCAAATTTGTTGAGATCTTCATTCTTTAGCATCTTGATGGGTCACCCATCTTTCCAGTCCATCGGCACTTGTTCTTGCTCCCAAATCTCCCTGAATAGAACGTGAAGCATACATGCAGTTACTTCTGTGTCTGATTTCATTGCTTCAAGTAGTATATTGTTAGGTTTTACTGATTTCCCACTGCTGATTTGTCTGATGGCCATACTAATTCGCTCGACCGTTGTTGAAGTAACATCTATAGAAGGTCTGTGTGCTCTGGTTCAATGTTCGGCGGATTCAGTGAAGCTGTTTTATTTAACAGTTCCTCTAAGTGTTCCACCCATTTGTTCCTCTGTTCTTGAATCTCCGTGATTCTCTTGCCTTCTTTCTCTTTAACCGGTCACTCTGATTTACTATATTTACTTGCTAGTTTCTTCGTTGTATCATATAGTTGTTTCACACTCCCTTATCTTGTAGCTTTTTCCGCCTTCGTTGCTAGTTCTCCCACGTATTTCTGCTTGTCAGCTCTAATACTCCTCTTCACTTCCTTGTTCGCTTCTGTGTGCTCAGCTTGTATCTTGACTCTCCGGGTTCTTATTCGGCTGTTGTTAGTTACTGACTTCTTGTTCTTCCTTCTCTCAATCTTGTCCAGGGTTCCCATCGAGACCCATTCCTTATGATGATACTTGTTGCTGTCCAGAACCTCCTGACACGTTGAAGTTAATGCTTCTTTGATCCCTTTCCAGTTGTTCACCATCGTAGTTTCTTCTTCTTTCAGTAAACCTTGTGAAGCTTGGAACCTGTTGTTGAGAGTTATCTTGAATTCGTTGAGTTTGCTAGTATCTCGAAGGAAAGCTACATTGAACCTTTGTAGTGCTGTTTGCCCAGCTGTTCAGTGTTTCTTTAGCTTCAGTTTCATCTTGGTCACAACCAGGTTGTGATCTGAAGCTATGCCAGCTTCTCTCGATGCTCTCACGTCTTCCATTGACCTTGTGGATTTTTCACTGATACAAATGTGATTTGTCTGGTTCTGTGTCGTATGATCCGGTGAGTCCCATGTAGCTTTGTGTATGCGATTGTGCAGGAATACTGTGCCTTCTATAACCGATTTGTTGAATGCACATTAGCTTGCAAATCTGTGACCATTATAATTCCTTTCTCCCAGTCAATGTCATCCAATATTATCTTCATATCCGGTGTCGTCCATTCCTATTTTGGCAGTTAGGTCTTCCATCAGGATGGCCAAGTTGTTTTCTGGACAATTCCCTACGGTCGACTTCCGCCTCATGAAACTGATCTTTATCATCTTCATTACCATCACTAGTAGGTGCAGTCAGTGTGTATATGGTTGAATCTTGTTGGTTTATTCAGCCCTCTTTGTCCCCCCTTCAAGTTCGCTTTGTGCACTTGTGGCTTAGTTATCTGTTCTGTTCGACAATAAACTGTATTTATATAGTCTGAAATATATACACTGTTGGTATTTATATAATAATGGTTATGAGGAAGAAAAATATATGAAGTTTTATATATTGTCTCGAAGATATCACACTACAAATTTTTCAAATGTAAATTCAAAGGTGGATTAGAAACAATTTATAGAATTCAAAGTGAATGCGCCTATGTGTTATTAAAACCCAGAAGATTAGCTCCTGATAAAATTGAAATCACCAAAGCCAAATTCCACTACATGATACAGCTGAGAATCCTCCATTCCTCTGAAAATCAGTCACATCATCCATACACATGGTCTCAGAAAAAAGTGAAGGTAACTGGTGGTTATGTGGGAATACGGAGTTCCCAACCGTCAAGCTGTGCCAGATAAGTATCAGTTACCATGAAGTGAAACGTACTGAACGAAATAGAGAACGAATTCAAATGAAATTAAAAATAGTAGGCTTTGGTGAGTAGAGCATGACTAAATATTTGGTCGAAAGAGACAATATTTATGTCCCATCAATAAAGCCATACCTTTGATAATTTCAATATAAATAAAGGGACGATGGAAACCAATAGTGAATTTTTGTTAATGCATAATAGCTGAAATTTAAATCTTCATAGTTTTGGTGTTTGTTTTATTTTACTAGAGCGTAGGGCGGTACAATTTGTGGTGATTGTCACGTTGTTTTTGGAGTACTTTTTAGCATGGACCCTACTAGGGTGGTTGAGGCATTAAGTAATACTCTGTTGGCAGAAAAACAAGAAAATGGAACAAAGATACTCGATGAGGCAAGCGAAACTATTCATTGTTTATTTCCAGATGCATAAAATTATTGGATTTGTTCCTACTCTATTGAAAATCATCCTTGAAGAGACTGTTGATGTGGGAGTACGTCAAGCAGCAGCTCTTTATTTTAAAAACAATATCTCTGAATGGTGGAAGCCTGATGAGCCGGATGAACCTGGCGAGTTAAGATTTTGTATACATGAGCAAGATAAGCAAGCAATCAGAAGTTCTATTGTAGCAGCTCTTGTTTCGGCGCCAATTCCTCTACAGTAAGTCATCTTTCTAAAGTAACACCCTAAATAAGAACTCATCTCCAGGTCGCCCTTTCTAAAATAATTAAGCATGATTTTCCTACTCGTTTCGAAGAGTTCCCTGAACAAGTGAAACATTTCTTAGAATCAGGTGATCGTCATCATCTTCGAGGAGCTCTTCGCTGCCTCTATGCTTTTATGGAAGTTTACACATACAAGAAAAACGATGAGCGCGCAAACACTGTTTCCGCGATGCAAGTTTTTTTCCCAATTTTATATTCAACGTTGTCGAGTCTCGTCGTTGAGGAATCCGAGGATTCTTATGTACTTCAAACACTCATTATCAAAATATTCTTTTCATTTATAAATTACCACTTCCCACTTGATGCAATGAGTAAACAGGTATGTCATTTACTTCTTACTCCTCTTTAGTTGTTTACTCAATGGATTGATATTCTCTGTAATGTACTCGGTGATTTCAAAGTAACTCATTCGGACGCTTCAAGTTCTACTTGGAAACGACAAAAATGGGCTTTAAAAATATTTAACAGGGTTTTCACCCGGTATGATGTGTAGAAATTACTAACTTCTTTCAGTTATGGTAGTCCTGGTTCAGTCATTAAGCTATATCAACCATTTGCTGACTGGTATCTTAAGGCCTTCTCAGGGCAAATAATATCAGTACTTCTAAATATATGTGAAGCGTACAGACAAAAATCATTCGTCTCCAAACCTGTGCTTAGTCAAACGCTGGACTATTTTTCCTCGGCGTAAGTAAAACACCGTCTAACTTGTTTTTGTAGACTGGCTAACTCATTTTCATGGAAATTACTACGACCACATTTTTCTCTTTTGGTCCGTGAAGTTATATTCCCATTAATGTCATATACTGAAGAAGATGCAGAATTATGGCAAGACGATCCAATAGAATACATTCGAGCTGAAGCTGGTAAGGTTCTTTCTTCTCTCTCTATTTTCAGGTGATTGGGGTTCGGTATCTAGTCCAGCGTGTGCAGCATCTACACTTTTAAGTGAAGCATGTATAAAACGACGTGGTGTTCTCAATAATATAATGCCGTTCTGCATCCATATATTAAGTTCCGAGAGTTCTCCTGTTGAAAAGGATGCTGTTTTGCACATGTACATAGCTATAGCTGAAATCTTACTAAAAAAAGCTGCATACAAGGTATGTCTGACAACACTTATGTACTTATCTTCTAGTCACAATTAGAATCGTTTCTTGTCGGTCATGTCCTTCCGACTTTGCATGCTCCTGAAGGATATCGTCGTGCTAGGGCTTACAGATTGCTGGAGAAATTATCAGAAGCTAAATTCAACGACCAAAATATTTTTGCTCAAGTTGTTGACGAAGTGAGGAAAGCTGCATGTTTTGATTCGGAATTACCCGTTCGTGCGTTTGCTGCACTCTGTCTCTCAGAATTAGTTCGGTGTCAAGAAACTGGTGAGTTAGCCGTGATTATTCTGTTTACTAGAAATGTGTACTCTGGTATTCTGGATTTATGTTTATTGGAAAGTTTGTGTATTTGTATAAATAACTTAGACTACAGTAACAATCCTAGCTTATTCTGTCTGACTCAAGTCTATTAGATCAGACATATTACAGATTGGTGACAAATTCGGTCAGTGATTTTGTGGCCCAAAAATCACATAAAACAGCTACTCTCCAGAATAGTGTAATTTAACACTGTAAATGTACTGTGGAACTATCTTGCTTTCGCTGTAATTAAAAATTTATTTTCTTTCGACTTTATTTAGCTCATCAATTTGTGGCTCCTCATCTACACGAACTCTTGATACGTGAGTGATTTTATGAAATTTAATTCCTAACTGTCGGTTGTTTTTCATAACTTTTTTTAAGGAGGTCCTTCCTAATAGTGATTACGATTTTTAAAATACCTTGAATAGCAAGTTTCCTCTTAGTTTGTTGGTTCATTTACTGCAATGACTCATTTCGTTTATTGAGTAGTGATTAAACTAGCATTCACTAGGTATTGGGTATGGAGCATGCCAAGGGCGAGAACTAAGGATGCTATCCGGTTGTCTAAACTAGGCACAGCAGGGTTCAAATTTAGTACTTAGTCATTAAGAGTCAAACGCATCAACCACCATGTCACTGCTTCATTTTCTCTAATATCGTATGGATCTGGTTAGTCGTAGTCTTTTTGATAATTACGATTTAAATGAGATCTACCAGTTTTATTGTCTCACGGGAGAGTGCTTTTAATAACATGAAATTACGAGGAATTAGTCGATATTTCTTATTAGGTGCTGTTTATAACTTTCATAAGGGATTTATGATACCTTGTTATGTTAAACGTAGGAATATGTTCACAGAGATCCTAAGCATTTGTTGCAGTCGGAAGCTTTTATAGTATGTAGGCGTTTTAGCGGAACTTTACAGAAAAGGAGAGTACGCTTCCAACGAAACATGCGGATTAACATATTTCAGCCATAGTTAAATTTCCTAATACCTTTTAACTAAGCCACAAATATACCACATTTCATGTTTTCACTTAAGTGTTGAAAAGTCACTTTAAATACCAAACCTTAAAATATGTATGCAGTCCATTTATCATACGTAAGTTCTGGCTTCAAAAAATGACAACCCATTTAGGATTCCCGGTAGATTTCTAAGATTTAATGTGATTTCCGGACCATTCTATAATTACTGGAAGCAAGTAGTTGCCTCAAGTAACTACCCTTGTAATGCTTTTTTGGTAATCCATGGTTAACATATATCTGTGCATTTGAAAGCAATAGGTTTGTATAAGTTACAGTAAAGTTTACGTGTTTGTCGTCTATATCAAGTTTTTGATCCTGATTTTCTTTCTTTGTTGCTTAGCAAGTGCTAACGCCTGTCTAAACACATGTAAGATAAATTTAAGATGGCTGTTTCCTCAGTGAACCAAGGTGTTATTTGAAACCGTATATACTCTCGTTCAATACCAACGATTCATGTACAAGCACACACGAGTCAAACGCAAAACAGCGTACACATTTCATGTTTGTATCATGTCTCATGACTTATGATTTTTAATATAGTGTTGTGAAACAATCAACGTAGTTTCGTTAAAATCTGTGCATTTTAGGGTTTCTTTTTGCATCTTAACATCATAAATTCCAGCAAGAGGAAGTTTAAAAAGAGTATTGCTTTTGTTGGTATTGCATGTAGAGCAAAACTAATAGGTTCTGCTACTCATCCACCTGACAATGAATATACCCTTTATTTGGATAACTTGTTTAGATTGAACTGGTAACCAGTACATGAAGCTGTTTGCTAAAAATTGTTTGTAGCTCAATTTATCCCATTATTTTAGTAGTGCAGATCATAATATGTTAGCAGTTATATACATAGTACGTTCACTTTCAGGTTTACTGGAGCTTCTTCGGCAAACTGAATTCGATGATTTAAACAATGTAATCGAAATATTAATACATACATTTGAAAAAGAAATTGTTCCAATTGCTTCTGAAGTTTTGCAAACATTGGTATGTTTTAATCAACATAATTATTATTGAGTTTGTTGTTAGGCCTGGTTTTTTAGGGAAGGGTTCAAGTTTAAATTTTTCTAATTGAATTTTGATGTCTTTTTTCCCTCTAGTCAGATACGTTTCTTCAGCTTGTTAATAAGTCCGAGAATGGATTACCTAATGAATCAAACGAGCTTGAGGATACAGAAGATCTTTTTGAGTACCGGTCTATAGTTGCTACAAGTGTTCTAGATAATATGGAGTCTATTCTACAAGTTGGTGAAGATAATGAAAACCTTGTTGCTCAGCTTGAACCCATTGTTGTGCGTTTGGTTCAGTCTATATTCGACCTTAACTTGAGTGTATTTTTTGATGAAGCTCTCACGTTCATTTTCTCCCTGACAACTAACAAGATTTCCCCACTTTTATGGCAAGTTTTCGATCAGCTCTATCCTGTATTCAAAAAAGATGCTTGCGAGTGCTTTTCCGGTAAGTATTTTATGCATTTAGACATCAGATAAAATCTATATAATACCCTACTTTTTCAGCAATAATTTCCCTCCTAAACTACAGGTAAATATATGATTTAGGGCATTTTCATGTACTAAACTATTGGTCACTTCCACGGTGTGGGCAGCCGGGAAGTGATATTAGCCCTCATACCCATAACAGTACACTAGATCAAGTTGGTCACATTCAAATCCTTTCTACACCTAATAAATCTCTTATCTCCACGACTAACCCTTCTCACGTCCTTTTATCACTTCGCACCGCTAGGGCAAACGATTCGAGTACGCGGGACGTTATTCCTGGTCTCCTGAAACCACGCTCTAAATGACATATAGGAACTTTTAACGTCCGAACATTGTGCCAAATAAGACAACAGGCTTCCTCAGCTAGGACCTTGAAATCTCGCCCCCTCGATGTGTGCTGCGTCCCCGAAACGCGCTTACAAGATCCGAGTGGCGTCATTTATTTGACCTCACCATGTCAAAATGAAGAACCGACTCCATTCATGCTTTGTGTATCTGGAAGCCCTGATGCTGCTTTCTGTGGCCTTGCTGGCATAGGCATAGCATTGAATCCTAGGGCAGAACTAGCTCTTTTAGACTGGATCCCAGTAGACAGTCGCTTGTACGATGTCTGACTAAACAGAACAGTAAGGACTCAGAAAAATAGGAGCACCCGTCGTTGCCTCTTCGTCGTCTCTGCCTATTCTCTCACTGACTGCAGCTCAGATGATGTAAAAGATGAGTTTTACGGAATGCTTTCCGACCTCCGAAAAGCTAGGCGCTGTGATGTAATAGTGACTGGTGACTTTAACGCTCAAGTAGGTGGTAAACTAAGCGAAAGGGAAAGACACCTGGGTGGATCTTATGGTGTCGTGGCTGAAAGAACAGATAATGGCGACCGTCCGTTACAGCTATGCTCAGATAGCCTCCTGTTTCTTGCAAATACTAACTTTAGGCATAAGCAAAAACATCTTTTGACATGGCGATCCCCGAATTCGTCCGAACGTTTTACCCATCTAGATCACATCGTTATCAGCCACCGATGGAGGGGCTCGACGGAAGACTCGCTCATTCTGGGACACGTGTTTAGGTTGGGATCGTGCTCAAGTGCGAGCACGTATCGGTCTACGTCTTACTGGACGTAGGAAAGACACTGCAAAGAAACTTCTTAGGGTTTTACTTAATAATAGGCAAGCTAAAAATATATTTCGGAAACAACTAGAAAAACCGTTGGTCAGCTATGTGAGTTGAGCCGACCCCAAGGCAGCATGGAATGACTTCCGAAAAGCTGTGGAAACAGCAGTAATATCTGCTAGTAAGGTAAACCTTAAGATTAGGGAGAAACAATGGATCTCGGCAGAATCTACTGCACTGATAGACGCTCGAAAACTCATCCCATACGGCTCTGAACACAACGAGGAGCAAAGTCAGCTTAAGCGCAGACTAACAAGAAACCTATGCATGATCGTGAACAGTGGTGGGTAGTGAAAGCAAGAGAGATGGAAAAGGCAACGGAAATAGGTAACAGCAGACAACTGTTCAGACTTGTTAAAGAAACCGGTATTGTGAACCCAACTGTCAGCGAAACTATCTCGGAAAAAGATGGACATATTATTCATTCTCAATCCAGGAGATTGGATAGATGGACAGGAAACCTTAGGGATCAGTTCAACTGGCCTTCAGCCACATTTGGTTCCCCAGTCGACCTGAATGGCAAGTTAATGTAAATCCTCCAACTCATTACGAGGTTGAAAAAGCTATAGGAAATCTGAAGCGAGAGAAAGCAGCAGGCCCTGACAGGTTTACTCCTGAGATTTTTAAGGATGGCGGTCCAGTACTAGCAGTGAGATTGACTGAGGTCTTAGGTAGAATCTGGGAACTGGACGTAATTCCATCTGACTGGTCCCAATCACTGATTGTGCCAGTCTATAAGAACGGACAAAAGTCCTCTAGTGACAGTCACAGACTTACTTACGCTTGGTACTCCCAATGGAGCATAGGCCGCCGACCAGCATTCTCCAACCGACTCTGTCCTGGGCCTTCCTTTCTAGTTCTATCCAGTTTTTATTTATTCTTCTCATATCTGTCTCCATTTCTCGGCGTAATGTGTTCTTTGGTCCTCTTCTCATTTGGCCTTCAGGATTCCATGTGTTATAATTGTATTTTTGCTATATAAACGACCCAGCTATTCCTATTGCTTAGTATTCTTATACGATGACACTCAACAAGACCCCCAAAATCAGAACACGTTGAACAGGAATGAAATTGTATTCAAAATAATAATGATAAGCGAACAGAAATCAGCAATCAATAGTTTAAATAATGTTCATATATTTTTAGTATATACATAAGAAGCTTATATATTTTTCTGCAATAATATACCCGGGCTGATCGGTTTAAAAATTAACCAATCAGTGCGCAGCAACACCATCATACATAAAACATGCTTAATCCAATCTATATCCCACCAACACCATGTGAGGGCTTGTCTTGTGACACAATTGGGTGACTTCCTCAATGTGTGTCCTATCCACTTCCAGCTGTTCTTCCTGATTTCTTCCTACGCTGGAATCTGGTTTGTTTGACAATCACAGATAAATCAGATTACCTAATACTTCGGCGCCTAACCAAAGTTTGTGAAAAGCAAACTAGAGAAAACCTGGACGTGGTCTTATAGACCAAATATTCACTCTACGTCAGGTCCTAAAACATGGACACTCATTCAGAAGCCCCGCAATCGTAGTATTTCTTGACCTTAAGGCAGTATTTGACTCCGTTGATCGTGAGGTTCTATGGTGGTGTTTGTCACTGAAAGGAGTATTAAAGAAGTACATAAACCTTAAAGAGACTCTTTACTCGAACACAACTGGTTGAGTGAGAGCTTATGGCGAAAAGTCATCAAAATTGTTTACCTCAAGTGGTGTTCGTCAGTGCTGTCCACTCTCCCTATTCTTGTCTAACTTTGTCGTTGACATGCTTTTAGAAATAACACTTTCATCATCTCAATCTCCAGGAGTTGAACTTTTACCGGAAGACTCATTGATTGACTTAGAATACGCCGATGACATAGTTTTATTTGGTGAAGACGCTGACAAAATGCAGAGTCTTCTGACCACTATAAGCAACAATGCAGGCATGTTCGGGATGCGATTCTCTCCCTTGAAGTGCAAAATGTTACTTCAGGATTGGGTTGCACCGACACCTGAACTAATGATAAGGAGTGAAGTAGTTGAGCGTGTTGACCGCTTCACTTATCTCGGGAGTCTCATCAGCCCTTGTGGTCCGGGGTTCGACGAAATCAGCACGGATACAGAAGGCTCGACTAGCTTTCGCCGACTTGCGTCATTTATGGTGTTGGCGAGATAACCGTCTAGCAGACAAAGGACGGGTTTATTGTGCAGCAGTTCGTTCCATCCTACTTTATGGCAGTTAAACATGGTCGGTAGGAGTAGAGGATATTTTTAGACTGCTAGTATTCGATCATAGGTGTCTTCGAAGCATTGCTCGTATATCCTGGGACCACCGAGTAAGTAATGCAGTTGTTAGGAAACGTGTACTATGTAGGGATGGCAAATCGATTGATGAAGTAGTGAAACTTCATCAGTTGAGATGGTTGGGACATGTGTTACGTATGCCCAACCACCGACTGCCCCGACGTGCAATGTTTTATGGTGTAGGCGTAGGTTGGAAGAAAGCTAGTGGCGAACAGACCAAAGCGTGGCACAAATCCATGAAGTCACTGACAAGTGGACTGAGCTATGTTGGTTGGTGTAGACTACATAGTTGGGATCCGTGAGATGATAGCAATCGATATTTAGAGACCTTTAATGACATGACTGAAAATCGTTTGCAGTGGTACAGGTACATCCACTCTTTGTGTTATGCCAAATCCTAATCTTCTGAATTTATTTCACTGGAATATGCTCCTTGAATAACATGTTCAAACCTTAATCTTTCGGATTACTGCTAATACAATTGCATCTCTGTGCTAATGTGGTTTGGCAACTTGAACTGATGTTCATATGTACGAAGTTGTACGTTGTGACTGACTGACTGAGACTATTGGTCAGATTCTCCAATGATTGGACTTACTAACTGGCTGATTAATGATTAGAGGTTGATAACCTTGTCGACTTAGTATACTGATGGAAGCTCTAGTTGCATAATTCATTCTTGTGTAATATTATTTTATTACTGGTAGTTAGTCCTTGGTTTCCGTTGTGTCATTAACATTTATTTATATTTCCATAGCAAAAAATCACTAACTGACGTAATTGACTTTTAAAGTTGTTGTCGAAAGTCATGCTTCGCGAAATCAGGTTTTAAAAAATTTTCAGTCGTGCAAAAAATGTATTGGTACAGGTTTTCGTGAAAAAAACATTTTGTAATTAAATTCACTTTATAATTAATTCGAATCGAAGTTGAGTGAAGTGATGCAAACTAGTTTTGTCAGGTTTTAAAACGGGAAGATCCTATTGTATCAAAACTTATCCTACTAGAAAATGATCCCTAGCTGTAGTACGTAGAAGTAGTAAATAAAAGTCGTTTCCTTTTATCAAGATTCTTATTCATATTTATGCTTCATTGCTGCGTATTAGTTAGATATATATCAACCTTATTATAGGTCTGCTCCCTGTTGATTCGATAGTTGTTAAGATTGAAGTTTGTATCCTCAGTGTAAGCAAAATTGTTCAGTTGATTCCCCAAATAGTGTCAATTCTGTATCAACTGATATTTGACAAAGTACGAGCCGTATTTATGTTCGATAATTTTAATATTTAATTATTTCCATTGAAAAAGTTTAAATCAGATTGCTGAGCTTTTTTGCAAATATGGTTTTCTTTTTAATGTCGTACGTTTACTTAGTGTATAACTACAGTAAAACTATTCGTCCAAATTTAGACAAATTGCTTATGTGCCTGTTTTATCTAGTTTCTGTTTGAAATCTCTCATCACCTTAAAGTTTTTTCCTGTTATTGTTGTTGTTTAGAAATGATGCCGTGTCTACATAATTACATAACAGTGGACCGCGAGGCTTTCCTGGCAAATGCTTCACGTATTGAACAAGTTACTGCTATGTGTTTAGAGGTAGATATTAAAGTTAATTTACTAGTTTGAAAATTTATGAAAGTATCTCGGAGTTTCTTTATTAAACTGAACAAAATTAATACTTCTCATTACGACTATTGATCGTTTCCAGTTTGTTTAGGCTACTAGGTAGCAAGTACCAGTGTGGTGTGATCTACTTATATCCATATAAGTAGTATATGGTGTATGTCAGACATAGAATGTATTTTCGCAGAAGACCGATAACGAAAAAACTGAAATGAAGCGCAATCGGTAGGAAAATGCACTAACAATGGAATCAGAGAAGAAACAGTGAAGATCGAGACTATTGGTTGTTAATTTGCAAATTGACTGTACATTGTATGGTTTTCAGAATTTACTGAGATAGTCTGTAATCTTTGCTTAAATACATTCGATTGTCCCCAACCAGTGTTCTGTTCACTACACCAGGAGTACGATTAACATCATTACACTTCTGTAGTGTACTTCGACAGTGTGCCCTATTTTACTTTGTGAAATTTTGCCTTCAAAAATAGAGGAAGTTTCTAGGTTACTATTGTTTAGTAAATATAAATTCAATCCATATTTTATCGCTAATATTTAGACAAATTAATTTATTGTATATTCCTGGTCCGTAAAAAGATTTGGCCGCACTTAGGCTTATTTGACTTGCACACCCAGTAATATTAATGGTTCTGCAATTCCCTCGAGACCTACTAGTACTAAACTGGATTCTTGGTGTAGCAAGTGATAAACTACGGATGAATTTCTTGAATAAGTCCCTACACTGTCGCACACAGTCTTAGTAGGGCTACAGTCAAAACAGATAACGATACATATAGCCTACAATTGTAATGTTTCTAAAATATTAACTAATACAATTAGTACAAAAACACAAAATAGTAGTCATCTATGGAGAAAATAGTAAGCACATACATACCGAACAGTAACAGAGACAACAAAAATGAATCAGTTACAAGGAATAGTCATGCTTATATAACTGGTACAATTTCATGATTGGTAATTATATACAAAGGGTTAGAGTAATAACTAGTCTGGGATTAAATGAGTTTCAAGTGGTAAGCGTTTAACTCAAACATTATTGGTTGTTTCACTCATCGATAGGGATTAACAATTGATCTAGTCGTGGATACATATACCGCGGTGACCCAGTTGTTATGGCCTTTTACTCCCAGCCATCAAGTCGCAGATTCAAACATTGCTGTACCTATGTTAGTTTGAGCAACCAAGTAGTAGTAGTGGTAGTATCGCTAGCCTTCATATTTAGAGTGTAGTTCAAAACCAAATACATGAAGTGTATTTGATGAATTAGGTAAATAAATAAATCAACACATCTCTAATCTTTTAATTCCCTGCAAGTTTTTGTACTTTTGAAGTTTGGAGTGTTACAGTACAGTTCTCTTATCATCATGAACTTTTTTATTGTTAGTCAATAAAAGGTCGTTTTGTTTATTCCTTATTGCATTTTACTTTACCTAATATTTGTCTCCATAGGTGTTCTCAATGGATGACCAAGAAAGATTACAAATGCATGCTGCCAAATTGCTTGAAGTTATTTTATTAGATTATCGAGGTCAAGTGAATCCATATGTACCAAAATATGTTGAGCTAGCACTTACACGTCTTACACGTCCGCTTGTTTCAAGTGAACTTAGAACACTCTGTATGCAGGTAATTATTTATTCGGAAATATTGTCACAAGTTTATGTTCATGGTAATAAAGGTCCTGGTTTATGTCATATATGGCTTAATAGAGGGATAAGTAGCACATCAAGTTGCACTTATCTCAGCGAAACAACTAAGAAATAGATTTAATGTCTACCTGCGATTTGATTTTTTCGCCATGAACTGGTATCAGTTAGAGAAAACTAATAAAAATTGAGAAGCACTAAACAGCCTCTTCTCTCTGGTTTGTGAGATAGTTTTTCATTGTAGAAAACTATTTGCAAATTGAAAACATTTCTATGAACTAATCATTTAAGCATTTTAAATTATGAACGAACTATGTGTTACGTCCTCTACTTAGTTACGGCAGAATAAGAGACAAATAACTGGATTTGAACGTGTAGAACCCTACAGTCGCTAATCAGAAGGCGGAATAACTGTATGAATCAGAATGGAAAAGAAAAATATGAGTTATTAGTCTTGGTTATAGCATCATTATAATTTAGCCAATCCGCAAGGAGGTCAATTATGCTATTCTAGAAGGCTCTATCAAGTTCTGGTTAGATGGAATCTCTTGGAGTCCTTCAGAGCTTCTTGAGGCTTCGTCGTGATTTTCGAAGCCGTCCTAACACTATGCTACCTAGCCTTCTTGTCATGTTTTCTATATTGATATTAACTGTTATTTTTCCTATTACATTTAGCCCATGTTTCTAAGCTTTTAATTATTTCCGTTACCAACGCTCAATTACAAGTAGATTGTTCCGATCCGTCGTCATATTTTTATTCTAGTGTTCAATGCCAACTATTTCGTACAGAACTTGCTAAATAACTCATTCTTCAGGTATTTGTATATGAGCCACACACTAAGTGTAAGTGTTTATAAATCTAATGCTCAAACTAAAGTAGGTGAGGTGGGGCTCAAACTTGGAACTTAGTGACTGAAAGTCGAACGCGATAATTATTGAGCTACCGCTCTTACAGAATTACACAACTATAGCATACATATATTTGTGGTTTAGTAGTTGATAAAACTATAACACCGCAGATTTCTAAAGAATTTCTAAGAGACATGGAAGTTGAAGCAATTGACACTAACTGTGGATGTCCTTGTAGAATCGTTTTGTTCCATGAAACTATTGACAGTATCAAGAAAGGATAATCGATGCTCTCCAAAATATATTTAGCTGTTCCGTGTAGACGACAGGTTTAGGAAACTTGCAACAGTAAATTTGTGTAGATCATTTACGGACTATGGACCGTATTTACATATTTAATAATTAATACTTTGTGCATTTATAAAATGATCAAAATGGATTTTCAGAACTTCGTATACTAGCGTTGTTAGCTATCAGCTTTATTTGAGTGTATCCTATGTTTAATTATCAACCGTTGAGTTCTCGAAAGACCAAAGGTTTTGGGTCCGAATCTTGCGTGAGGGTTTGTAAATGCACACTGCTGGGAGTCTCATACTAGGACGAAACGATCGTCCAATGCTTTTAGATTTTTAGTGGTGGTCTGACATTAATTTGTTCATGACTCCAATGGATATTTCACTGAAAAAATTCTATCCGTTACTTTTGTATGGTGCTTTGTATTGATAAACGTGTAGCTGAAGCGTGTTTAAATCAGTGACTGAGAAAGCAATCTACGAAAAAATTCGGATTTTGTTACCATTCCCGAACTTTCTTGACGTCTGTTAATTGTGTAGATGTCAGCTGTTTTGCTGTTGCTTATCTACAAGAGCGTAATAATTACTATCAGTATAAAAGTTGGGAAAGAACTTTCATTGCCATTTATCACACATCATTAAAATAATATGCCTGTAACATATCTAGAACAATATGTAATTTTCCAGCCAAGTAGTCATTTATTTTAATAACATTATTATTATTAACGATTAGGTGGTGATTGCTGGATTGCTTTACTCACCTATGGATATGCTTCATATGATGATCGAGCATCCATGGCCTGGGACAGAGGTTAACATTTTGTCCGAATTCCTTAAACGATGGATTCAAGATGCCGACTGTTTCCTTGGGTAAGTTGGTTTTTAGTTTAGTTGTTGACTAAGTAAGATGTTTGCTTGCCTTGTACTGAAAAAATCAAGGACCTTAACCAAACTGTCACTCCAAGGCCTTTATAGGACTTTTATATGTCGATTAGTACTGCAAATTTCATAGTATGGGTTTCTTGGTATGGAACACTCGGCAATCAAACTCACATTCTCTCTTATGTTACTACATATTGACTGGTTCTAGATTACTTGCGCAAGTAGTAGTAACTCCAAATTTTGTATATTGTTTAGCTTCAAATGTTTCAAATTTTGCTTTCCTTATAAAAAACTTCCTCAATACTATGGTAAGTTTACTACTACTCAAATCAATAGCTTGGTGATTCTCAGATTCGAGCTCCACCATAGCTACTCCAGTTCAAGGAGCTGGATAATATCACCATCAGTCACAATACTAATATGATTCTAAGCTGAGTACATAGATCCGTTCTTAATAGATTAGTCGCATTGAATAAAAATGAACTACATCAACTCATATAGTTCTCTTTTAGAATTTTTCTGAACATGAAAATCTCAGTCATTGTTTTTCGTGTATACAGATGCTTTCTGAATATCCAACCATTGGTGTTGTTAACTCACTTTGAACATTTTTCTTTAATAATACTATAGAATTAATCTGTGTAATAATTTTAAGACTAGACTGTTGAAGAGAATAAGCAGTAATTATCATCGTATTCTGTCATTTGTAGTAGAGTTGTATTTCTGACACCATGGATTTGATACTCAGTTTTATAAATATGTTGCTTTCAATGCATCATTACTATATATTACTCATAAGTTACTGGTTTTCGAAAGGACTTTTTGTAAATAAGCAGACAGTCACAAACTAAAAATCCTTAAAACTTTACAATGAAATATGGTCTACTAAAACAGTTCCAATGTTTCATGGAGCAATATGCATCCAAATTTCAACAAAATAACTTAAAACTGACAAGCGACACAGATTCACCAATAGTTTTTCCTGAATTTACACTCACGGCATTTTTGTTCAAGTAAGCCGAATTAAAACGATGTTTCTTTTCTTTAGATTGCATGATCGCCGCCTTTGTGTCTTAGGACTTTGTTTGATTATTTCTCTTCCGGCTGATAAACGAACTGAAGCAATTGTAACACTCAGTGAAAAGTATATACCGTCCCTTCTACTTCTATTTTCTGGACTGAAAAAGGCGTACGCAACAAAAGCCTCCAATCAAAATGAAGATGGTAAAGCTTTTTCATACTTTTATCCTTATTTATTTCATAATTATTTTTCCTTAATCAATTTGTTGAGCTGCTTTTTGGATATTGTTAAATTTCCGTACTTTATATCATGGGCTGTCGTAAACCACCATTAAAAATCAAACAGCATTAGACAACTTTTTCGTCCTTGCAAGGGAGTCTTCAAGAAGCATACGCCATCCAACCATTGAGGATGGAATTCAAGACTTCACAATGGTATGGATATCTAACTTCAATCAATTCACGACATTGCGCAACCATGTTTCATTTTCTGTAGTAGATGACTTTCACACCCGACATGATCAATCTCCACTGATCATGTCTTCTCACTAAAACTACCATTGTCATAACGGAAAGCTAGTTGCCACCGAGTACGAAATTACTATTAGTGTTGGGGAAATTTGTGGAGATTGTTAAATTTTCATAGTTTACGTCACGAACTATTCAACGTTTCTGAGTTCGATTCTCGGTTTGGTCGTGAATACATACGTTTGGTTTTCCATACTGAAATGAAACAGTCGTTCAATGTTTTGTATAGTCGCGGTAATAAGTTGTAATGTGAAGGTGGACTACCGAGCCGGTAGCTTCAGTAGACCCCTGGGGCTTGTTACGAAGCATCATATCTCTATGTGAAGACCTTTTAAGTCCCAAGGGAATGTACTTCATTTACTCTGGTTGGTGCTATTGTACAACAGGGTTTTGTTTCACTTACTTTCCCCAACCCTGAACATGTCTGGGTTTTTGACCATCAGTGGTAGACCTAGAGGGGGTTCCACGCGGAGTAAGTAAATTACTGTGGTTTGTAAACAGATACTGAGTCCTTATTTTCTGTTCATAATAAGTAGGTATACGCTTGATTTCTGAAAAACAATTGATATCTCTATTTTCTGTCATTAGATTCAGATGAAGAAGAATCTGAAACGGAGGAAGATTTAGAAGGTAAAGCTTTGGGAAGCGATGAAGATGAAGTAGACGAAGAGAGTATTCGCTATTTAGAAATGTTAGAGGCGACTGTAAGCTCTTTTAAATATTGGATATATTTTTTTCACTGTCACTTTACATTGATTGAAAAAACGTGTGAATTGTTGTCCTCTCACTTTTTTATTACTGGCTAATCGTCTTTTGTGATTTGTTTATTATTGTACTAAAATATTTTTCACAACATCATGTTTTTTAAGGTGTAAAGGTAAATGACATAATTAATTAACTCATTTACTAGGTACTTAGGTATGAGTAGCATTGCATGTGTAAAGCTAATGATACTACTCCGTTACCCAAATCTTAGTCGATGAATTGGAATCAAACCTGGGACTTAGTGACTAAAAGTCAAAGGCTGTAACTAATGAATATGAACCAAGCTATTTAATAGACCTAGTTTATCAATATCATATTCTTCAACCACCTAGTTTACCAGAACATTTTATTCCATCAGAATTGAAAGGAAACAGTGTGTACTCTAATAAATTCAAACAGTAAAGATGTTAGATTTTGTATAAAATGTATATAGGAGTTTTTTGGTTCCTCGATTCTCCCACTGACTCTAATCATTTTGAAAAGGCTCAATTAGTGTATTCTGATTTTAGCCTTTGTTAAATGTACATTAACCAGAACTTTGTCGTTCTAACAATTTGTGCTACTACCTACTCTTATTCATGTAAAATGATGATCCTAGTTGCATTTTTCTTCTGAACATTCAACACTTAATAGTCAGTTATCGTAGTTTAAAAGATGAACTTCTTTATGGTGCTGAATTCCTTCGTAAAACGTACAAACTGCGCAGCAGTTCGCTCTGTTCTACTTTATGGCTGTGAAACATGGCCATTAAAAGTAGAAAATACTCGTAAGTTACTAGTGTTTGACCACAGATGTTTTAGAAATATTGCTCTCATCTGCTGGGATCACCGGGTAAGTAATAGTGAGGTTAGATACATGGTATTAGGAAATGATGGTAAATCAGTTGATGAGGTCATGAATCTTCATCAACTGAGATGGTTGGGCCACGTGTCACGTATGCCTGAACACCGATTACCACGACGCGCAATGCTGACTAGTATTGGGGATGGTTGGAAGAAAGTTAGGAGCGGCCAAACCAAAACTCGGTATCAGTGCTTGAAGTCACTAACTTCTAGTCTGAGCCATGTTGGCAGGTGCAGACTAGGAAAGACCCATTTTCAACAATCGACAGTTTAATTAAGTTCTGTTCTATAAATTCTCTTCAGGTTCTACAATTATATATCCAAATTAATAATCCGAAAAAATGGCCAGGTTAAAGGCAAAGTACATCGTTTAATGCATGTAAATTTAGGATTGTCAAATCAAATAGTTAATGTTGATATGACTCATATAGAATGTTAACTTGAATCTGTATATATGGTAAGTGAAAATTTAAGATCTGTGATCAGAATATAAATATGGGTCAGATAGGGTGAGAGAGATATGATAGTGCAATTACAATTCGATCAAGTGGAAGACTAAATGTGTGAAATATTAGTAAGACGTAATAAGGAGGGATCAATGCGATGTGAATGAATCATGTTTAGGGGGGATTAATAATGATATTTAACCAATAATAATAATAATAATAATACAAAGATTTGTGAATAAAGATAAGAGAGACAATTACATTTGACTACGAAAGGTCGTAAGTACATAGTCAAATTAGGTCATACAATAGCTAAGATGATTCTTCATTAATTGGCCTTGTGGTTGGCCAAGGGAGAAGTAGGGGTTGGAGGTATTTCTTCTGTACACATAGCTCAGGTTTCTTCATTCTGATGGCTACTGCCTCCGCCGTTTGAAGGACTTTAAGCCTGACAAGCTTAGGCAAAAAATTACTGACCCTATAAATAATTGAAAAAGATTGGTTTATACTGGACTATGACCAGTTTGTACTAAATGGGCCAAAATCGAGCTGTTTACTTTCCTCATCAGACCTTTGCTTAGCCACGCTGGGAGGTGTTCACGAGCACGAAAATGTAAATTCCTAGAACTTCGACCAATATAACTTGCTCCACAGGAGCAGTCGAACTGATAAATACAAAATGAAGTGGTCATTCTAGGAACTTCATCTTTAAGCCTCGATGTCACCATTGGACGCGTAGAAAACACCAAACGTAGTTCACCTGCGTTGAAAGATTTTTGGATAGATCTGCGTAATCTCTGAGCAAGTATTTCGCCAGCGGCATCCCCCTTGAATTGTAGGCGCATGAACAAGGACTTTTTCTTGACCATTTGGAATTCGCCTATTTTCACTTTCATGATCATATATTTAATTATAAATTTTCTGGGATACCCGTTCTCCCTTATAGCATTATGCAATGTGTTTAGCTTCATTGTCAACTACATCCGCCAAATCAAATACTGCTCTGGCCATTTTTTCCGATTATTAATTTGGATATCTAATTGTAGAACCTGAAGAGAATTTATCGAAAAGAATATTCTTCGTTCAAATATTAGTCTTTTAAATAAATTATAAATTTGTAATATCCCAATGAGTAGAAATTATATTTTCTGACGTTTCGTGACTCAGTGTAAGCCACTTCTTCAGAGAATAAATAACCAAATTAATATTAATCCAAGTTTAAATAGTACAACGGAACAATCCAAGATATTACAAATTTATAATTTATTTATAACAATCTACCCAATACTCAATTTATTCAAAATTATCAAATCAAGTCATGGTAATGATACCTACATTAGTCTTTTAAATTCTGTTCATTGTTGAAGACAAAACAATATCTTGTAATATGAATACTAACACAACTTCATACAGTAGTCACTTTCAATAATAAAATTATCAACATTCATCGCGCAGTTCAGTTTTTTTAAAGTTAATCACAACCTGGTTGATAAAATTTTGATATTCCTATACGTTTTAGATTTGATTGATAGGATTTAACATATCCAATTTCAGTTTGTTACTGATGTGCGATCGATTTTTACTTTAGAAAGATTCAGAAGACGATGATGATGAGGATGTTGACGACGATGAAGACGATGAAGAAGAAACATTGGAGGCGTTTGACACACAAATGGATAAGTCTGAATGTGATATGGATGAATATGTAACGTTCTATCGTGTAATGACTGAATTGGAAAGAACTGATTATGCATGGTATAGTCAGTTGATCAATCATCTTAGTGAAGTACAACAAAATGATCTCAAAGGTGTAGTGGATACTGCTCTGAAATGTATCCAGCAAAAAGGTAAATATATATATTCTCATATTTCATGTGTTCAAGGAAATAATTATGATGTACTGATCATACTTAATTCATTAAAACGCATAATATGATGTCTTTCAATTCTGTGTTTGTTCACAGTAACATTAGCTTCTCTAACGGCCTCGTGCTTTTGCGAATCATTATAGTTTAGCGCTTAAATATACCACAGTAAAATGCTATTGTATCTTCAAAAAAGCGTTATGGTGTCGTCATTCATTGTTCCCACTTTTCCATACGAATTAGTTTAACAGATAGTCAGTGGTTCGGTCTTATCGAGACATCTTGACTGATCGTGATCATATCAAGTGTGGACATATTAAATGAAAACAACTGAATTTTTAAATAAATTTGTTTTATCATCCGAGCAGACTTGATAAACGTAGAGTGTGACAGTAGTGTAAGTTGACTCAAGTCAACACGACACATTTACACGTCGAGATAAAATGGACCACAAAAAAAACAAAGTGGTGTAGAAATGATCGTAAAAATGCTCCATATTATGAATGTGGTTAAAAATGACTGAATATAAAATTATATGGAAAGAGAATGAATGAATACGTTTGGTCATTGTGCGGATTGTGAACAGTGTGACCCAACATCTTTAACTATTGGTTACGATCACCCCAATCAGGTAGTTTTCGCTTACCAACATGACTGAAATTAACAATCATTTAGTCAGTGGCTTTATGGACTGACTCCACTTTCCGATCTGACTGTCGTTGTTTTGATCCGATTTCTCAGGTTCTACGTTGCGTATGACTATCCGATACTCGTGGTCTATAGAGTATCAGGTACAATAAGAGTGCAAATTCTCCATGTAGTTATATGAATCAGAATACATTTGAATTATTATGGTTTTTTGTAATTTACTCATTTGATCTAATCGTACACCATAACATTCAGAATGTCTCCATTATACACATCGAGTATATCTTGTTTGTTTCGTATAAATCTAACAAAATATTTTCTAATTTCTATTTCAGAGTCTAAAATTATTGAACAAGCTGGAGGATACACTTTTTCCCCGAATATTCCTAGTAGCTTTGATTTTGGTTCACCCAATGGACAACTTAAATGATCTGTGTGTGTGTTATAAACTCTGTTGTATGGTGGAATTAAATACTAATTTATGAAGCTTTTTTTTTCTCTGTATAGGATACGTTACAGTTTTGAATCATCATGTAAACAAAACTATCACAGTTACAATTTAATTAACTCCAATATAATAAATGAGCACTATTCCCATTATGCTATTTTTATTTCATAAATATCTGGTAACTATGATTTTATTCTCGCTTCAGTTTTTTTTTTGTTTTCCTTTTTTTTTAACATTGTACACATGTATTCTTCTTCTTTTCAATGTTCACTATCCATTTTCCTTATAATGCTCTTTATCTGAAGCGCTTCTATCCCCCCGCCTTCGTAAACATTCTACTTCACACATCTATTTGTGCTCTTTTTTTCTCCCATTAATCCATGTGTGAAGGGAAAAACTAACCGAATATATTAATTCGTGCTAAGCATAGATTTGATTGTGGTAAATATTTTCCTTATGTATCAAAAAAAAAATTTGTTTTTTTAATCCCTATTTTCTCACTATTAGTTTCTTCTTTCTGTTTTTCGTTTAAAAGAGAAAAAAAAACTTGTTCAAGACTGCATTATAAAACTGTGGTTCATTTGTTTGCTTATTTTTTTGCTCTTTTTAAAAAATATTCAATCTCTCAGATCACTGCTTTTTAAAAGAAAACAAATAATTAGTACAATGTGTTATAATCCTCTTTTGAAATTTGATTTTCTTTAGTAAAATAAAGTCTATTCAATTTTGATTTGTAGTGTTATTTCTTTAAATTGTTCCCAAATGCTCTGGTACGACCGAGAGTAAGGGGAGAGTCCGCTCTCCCATGGCCACGCGTATATAGCCTCTGCCAGAGAAGTCCTACTGATTGCATTCTTGTGGAGGGGATGTTGTTTACGTAATTGAGAGGATGGAAAGCGAATGTCCGGCGCTTTAAGTGGTTGGTGGACAGGGCTCGTGGGAAAATCCTGATTCCCAACCAGTGGTGCATATGGGCTCCAGTATCCTGAAGGAACAAATATCAATCAATCGTTGGTCACCGGCTACCATGAAACTGCATCTCCTCACGATGCTCCACTGCCTTGTGAACTAGACCTTTAGGTCAAAGGCTTCGGGTATGTCCCCCTAAGAAAACCACCTGTATCGGTTTGAGCACCTGAGTATTATCACAGCCCTCACACAAATCAAATGATTTGTGTGGCGCATATTTATCTGGTGTTTCTTTGTACCAATATTTATGTGTTTAAATAAATAAGTGATTAAATGGCTTGATATATGTACTGAACATTTCATAGAGTAAATTTTTCAATATCGCTTGAACTAATTGTTTTACTGTAGGTTGTTATTTAAGTATGGTGGACAGATATTACACTGTAAGTAAGTAATCGTATCGACTCTGTCTGAAGTTTGTATTGGGTTTCTTAGAACGAGATTAATGAAAAAAATGTTTTAGAGCACCTATAGATTAGGTATGAATTTCTCATGACTATTGAGATTATATATACCTTGATTTTATCGTTCATGAATTTTTTTTTTACTGACTATGAATCGGGTTAATTCTATTACTTTATGCAGAATTAATATGGCAACCTGGCATGGAGAATGTATTCGTTTTCTCATGGTGGTCGGTTATCCAGTTTCACTATTTACTTAAACATTAATTTATGATCGTAAAATCATATCGCTAATTGAATGGCAGCTTAAATGTTTGATTCTGATTTAAACTCATGAGAATGATTTTAGAGGGGTTGTGTTCCTAGAGCTGGATGGTTTATTCATGAATTTTTCTATTTTTACACCAGATGGTCAGCACTTACGTTATGACTCTTCTACTCATCTTAAAGACTTCAAAAACACACGATTCCCAAATGATGTTCCAGATGTTAAATCGAGTAGTAGTGACTTCTACAATATTTACATTCGAAAAACAGTAGTTATTTACACTACAGCAATAATTCCTTTGGTGATTGTGGGCTCTAAATGTTCAATTTTCATTTCTTTAAAGTATAAAAAAGTACTTTCTTTTAGTTAAATCAGATTAATCTGAACAACAAATGAAATCTAAGGGAACATTTGTGGTATAGTTTAGTAATTTTCAACAGTTCCCACCTGCGACCTCATCAGTGATCGAACCCAGAGGCAAAGTAAGACGAGACAAATATTCTCTGTCTTCCTAGTTTATAATATTTGTTCAGCTGATATCATTTCGTGATAGTAATAAACTTCAAATGTGAGGGTTGACAGCTGGAATTAATGCAACAAGTTTTATTTAATGTGTTATTGTGGAGATCGGTTTAATTTTTAGACATTCGTTACAGGCTGAGCTCATTCGAAATACTATTATAAACCAAGGAACACTGTACATGTTTCGTTCTAGTATGGACCCATGAACCCATCAGAGATCGAATCGAGGACGTTCAAGCTTTGCCGCTTACTTCCAGATATATCTGAAGTTCTAGTGATAGATCATGAACAGTGGAGTTCAGATGTCAAGAGTGAAACATTTGTTGCCAATGGCATCAGATGGTTGTTGCGCTGCATCGCCAATTGATTGGAAATGGAATTGTACCATTAGACATCGGCTCAGAAGTTCCAATGGCTAAGTGTCAGTCAGTCAGCAACAATGTAGAACTTCGTACGTACGTACATAAGTTGAAGTTGCCATACCACATTAGCACAAATGCAATTGTCGACTCAAATCCCATAATGGTAGAAGTAGTAAGAGTATAAGCAGTAATCGGAAAGATTAAGGTTTGAAGATGTTATTGATGGAGTATAATACAATGAAATAAATTTGGAAAGAGAAAAATGGAAGGGACATGAAGAATTCAGATTAGAATTTGGTAGAGCACAAAGAATGGATGCACCTTCGCCATTGCAAACGATTTTGAGCCATGTCATTCAAGATCTCGGTTGCTATCATCTCGCGAATTCCAACCAACATGGCTCAGTCCACTTGTCAGTGACTTCATGGATTTGTGCCATGTTTTGGTCTGTTCGCCATTAGCTTTCTTCCAACCTACTCCTACACCATAAAACATTGCACGTCGGGGCAGTCGGTGGTTGGGCATACGTAACACACGTTCCAGCAATACTTCGAAGACACCTTTATTTATTTATTTAAACACATAAATATTGGTACAAAAAAGTACTAGATAAATATGCGCCTCACAAATCTCATTCGATTTGTGTGAGGGCTGTGATACTGTCCAGGTGCCCAGTCTGAAGCAGGTGGTTTTCTTAGAGGGCCACACTCCGAGCCTTTCACCTAAAGGTCTAGTTCACAAGGCAGTGGAGCATCGTGAGGAGATGCAGTCTCATGGTAGCCGGTGATCAATGATTGATTCGTGCGCCTTTTGTTTCCTCAGGATACTGGAGCCCATATGCACCATTGGTTTGGAATAAGGGTTTTCCAACTCCCCTAGGTGGATCATCCACCAACCCGGTTATAGCGCCGGACATTCGCTTTTCGTCCTCTCACTTTCGTGAACAACACCCCCGCCGCGAGAAGGCAGTGAGTAGGACTTCTCTGGCAGAAGCTATATATTCGCGTGGCCATATGAGAGCATTTCGAGAGGGAGAGGTGACTCTCCCCACTCTTGGCCGTACCAGGGCATTTGGAGGGCTCGAAGACACCTATGATCGAATACTAGCAGTCTGAAAATATCCTCTACTCCTACCGACCATGTTTAACTGCCATAAAGTAGGATGGAACGAACTGCTGCACAATAAACCCGTCCTTTGTTTGCTAGACGGATATCTCGCCAACACCATAAATGACGCAAGTCGGCGAAAGCTAGTCGAGCCTTCTGTATCCGTGCTGATTTCGTCGAACCCCGGACCACAAGGGCTGATGAGACTCCCGAGATAAGTGAAGCGGTCAACACGCTCAACTACTTCACTCCTTATCATTAGTTCAGGTGTCGATGCAACCCAATCCTGAAGTAACATTTTGCACTTCGAGGGGGAGAATCGCATCCCGAACATGCCTGCATTGTTGCTTATAGTGGTTAGAAGACTCTGCATTTTGTCAGCGTCTTCACCAAATAAAACTATGTCATCGGCGTATTCTAAGTCAACCAATGAGTCTTCCGGTAAAAGTTCAACTCCTGGAGATTGAGATGATGAAAGTGTTATTTCTAAAAGCCTGTAAACGACAAAGTTAGACAAGAATAGGGAGAGTGGACAGCACTGACGAACACCACTTGAGGTAATCAATTCTGATGACTTTTCGCCATAAGCTCTCACTCGACCAGTTGTGTTCGAGTAAAGAGTCTCTTTAAGGTTTATGTACTTCTTTAATACTCCTTTCAGTTACAAACACTACCATAGAACCTCACAATCAACGGAGTCAAATACTGCCTTAAGGTCAAGAAATACTACGATTGCGGGGCTTCTGAATGAGTGTCCATGTTTTAGGACCTGACGTAGAGTGAATATTTGGTCTATAAGACCACGTCCAGGTTGGAAACCAGCCTGATTTTCTTTAGTTTGCTCTTTACGAGCTTTGGTTAAGCGCTGTGTCTACAATACGAGACTTGAATATACTGATTACAATCCTTTGTTGGATAATGGGTTGTGCGCTGTTTAGAAGTGCCATACTAAGATGAAACACTGTTCAGTACTCTTTGATTTTCTATTGTGTCCTAAGTGATATCATTCTCCGATATCTACTATGTACAACTTTAACCAAATTAACAATTCTGTATGGATGTAAGAGTTCAGCTAACTTAGTTAGACTTTAAGAAAGTCTTACTGTGATAATCAATTCGCAAATAATATATAACAAACCAAATTTACCATCGGTTATCAGTTCTGAAATTGAGAACATTTACCATTATGTTTTCATCCTTATATAAGTTGCCACTTACACAAATTTGTCTTACTAATTAAATTAAGTAATTCATTATACTCATAGTTGAAAGCTTAGGTCAATTGAAGCTAGACCAACATAGAAAACCTGAAAGCACTGGACTCACGCTTTTAACTAAGAAAATACTAAA